GTAGAGGAGTGGAGGGTTTTGTGCCGCGCCTCTGCCCCCGAGGGTCGCGACATCAGGCGGCTCTCGAGGTCCACAGCAGCGATTCTCAAACCCACCCACAGCCCCGCGCCGCCGCACAACCGCCAGCAAAGGTTTGGAAAGCTCAAGAGATGCGGTTCCAGTTACTCCCACCCGGCGGATCCAGCTCTTCGGTGGCGCGATAAAGCCGGGCAGAAATGAAATCGACGGTGGCGAGGCCTTGCTGCTTCAGGATAATTTTTCTGCTCCAGCAGATGGTTTTTTTCCCCCTTTAAAATAAAATTAAAAATAGCAAGCACCTCTCAGGCATTCGTCCGTGCTAGGTAGATGCGCGAGGACTGAGTGGGAATTTTCATAAAGAAGGAAGCCGGAGGTTATTTGCCCCGCAGCCCCGCAGATGAAAACTTAATTAGCGTGCCTGTCTTAAAACCCAGACATAAATCTCCCCGGGCCTTTTGGATAACGCTATATCTTGGCTTATGAAAAATGGGATGTGAGCAACTCGCTGCACAGCTCTCTGATTCTCCCAGGTCTTGGACTGCTGACACGCATTCGATCAAATTTAAAGGAATGCGCATAAATCAGCGAGCCCCTAGTGTCTCCTCCAAGAGGTCCCTTAGTCCAGAAGGGGGTCAGTGAGCCCACTGGGTCTGGGATTTAGCATTCCCCAGCAACCACCATTTCGGCTCCTAAACTTGGAATTTGCAGAGAAAGCAAGACGTCACATCTTCACGAAGCCCTCCCAACACACGAAGCAGAGTGTAAACCACACGCGCGCGTTCACACACACACACACACACACACACACACACTCACACACATATTATACAGAGAAATTTGTGTCGTTAACTATGCCCACACAAACGGTTCACTCTCAGATAAATTTCACTGCCTCCTGCCGAATTTTTAAGAAAATATTTCAATTAGGTTGGATATTTTTTAAAATGAGTATTATTTTTTCTTTTTACCTGTCTTTAAATGTTTTCCTTTCCTTTTCTATTAAAATAAAAAACCAAACCCCACAATTTAAATGAATGGCTTCAGCTCTGTATCAGGCATAAGTAGTAGTGAAACGCACAGTGACATTTTACAATCATCCACTTAAAGTAACTTAATAAATTTGACAGTATTAAGAGCAGATGGAAAAAGTGGGACTCTTTTAAAAGTCCCATATTTATAATTTTTTATTGAAGAGGAGTTTCCTTTTTAGAAAAAAGAAAAAACTTGAGTCAAGTTTGCAACAACACTCTCCATGGGTTTGTGTCTGACATTACTAGGATTTTTCAAGAAGTGATGGTGTCCTCCTGGATGTCGTTTTTCCTAAGGATTTTAGAGTGATTGCTATTTGGGCATTAGGGAGCCATCATAATCCATGCCCACCTCAAGTTAGTCTGGTAAATCCAAATTTAAATCAGAGGAGAGTTAGCTAAGATCTACGCTATCAACGACCATTTTAGAACTGTTGAGAAACAAAACAAAACAACATCTTCTGTCATGATAGTTTCAAAAATTGGGGAGAGAGAAAAGAAGGCTGTTACTTTACCCAGGATTCCTGCAGTGGCGATGGCTTTTGAAAGGGGTGGTATTCAGGCTGGGCTGCAGAGCTTCCAGTTGGCCTTCCTCCTAGGCCTGAGACTCAGATTATTTCTTACAGGTAAAGAAAACGTCCCCCATCAACAGAAGAATTCCCTTTGGAGCTGTTCATTAACACACAATTTGATCCAGCTTGGAGGAGATTTTCCAGCACTTTAAACATTTGGGGAGAAAGTTGTTACTTTGGCTCAATGGCAGCTCATTGATTAGGAACAAGATGTGTGGACGTGGCCTGAAGCAGCATCCTCATTTGAGTGAAAATCCTCAGGGCAGCAAAATATGATTGCACTTCACCAGACCATTTGATATGAATGTTTCGGGATCATCCTGTTTTTGAGACAGCTTGAGAAATCCTTTCCATAATTCTCCATCTGTAAATAAGCTTTAAGTCTTCAGGTGAGGTTGAGAGGTTTCCATCAACCAGGTTTGTAGTCAACCAATATTATTTTCCATAAAATGGTCAATTTGGTTTTTTTCCATTACTCTCTTCTAATATAAAGTAAAAATAACCTGCACCTCAAAATTCCACATCTCAAGGCTACTGGTTCCATCAACATTTTAATATGTGCGTGCATAGCTAGATTTGACACAAATGCACTACCCTATATGTATATTAAATATATAAACATCCTGTACATATGTATTAGTTATGTCTCTGAATACAGCACCTGATGTGTTGTCGGGGGGTCAATAAACAGTAAATATAATACTTATTGTTATAGTTTTGGTGGTGGTTATTAACATTAAACATGTTTATTTCTCCCACAAATCAAATGGCAGATTAGCATGCATCAATATAAAATTGCACACCACACTACAGCAGGACTCGGCTCTGAGCCACCCCAAATAATTCCTCTTCTGCACCCATATTAAGATCATTTTGTAGAGCTGAGATATTTAACTTCTTACTGATCTCTCTCTGGTGAGGTGGCTTTCTTTGAATTTCTGAAATGTAATCCTAGAACCCTAGTGTTAGCAAAGCATTTGCTAACAAAACTTTTTATTTGCCATAAAGACTCCCTGATAGTTCTAATTAGGATAGTAGACCACCTTGAAGAGTGAGGGCCAGAAAATAATGGTTATTTAAGAACACCTCTTAGACTGTAACAAAAATGTATAGCTTTAAAGCAGATCTGCGGGAATCTGATGGAGAGCAAACCACTGTGAAAACAAATCAAATTTGGCCATTAAAGAAAAGGAGCAAAATTTTATCACGTAAAGTACATTTTGTACCTCGATTCAAGAAATCACCTTAAATTACAATATCTTGGGTCTTCAGCAATTAATGATACTATATCTGTACAGATTCTACAAATATATATACAAGCACACACAAGCACTGATATGCAAATGTATACATGTATACACATATATGATATATATTGACATATATACAGGCACATGTATAATTTACATATATTCAAATTTGCTCCAACTGGAGCCAACGAAATGAATACTAAATCTCTGAAACAACAAGTCAAAGAGGTAAGAGCTCTCGGTTCCCTTGAAGCTGAAGAATTACAAGGAGGCTTGTCAACACCAGGTGGCGCCCTTGATCTACTAATCCGGCCGAGGCCAATTCATGAGCTGTCAAAAGTCAAGGTCACAAATTGTCTTTTTTCGTCAAGGTCAAGGTTTAAGGCCTTTCCTAGTCCTGTCATTTCAACAAATATCAAAACCTGCCTTCTCAGACACATGCAGACCCAACAGCAGATTTTAAAATACGGCAGCCTTAGGCATTACTGATACTAAACAACTGGTTTTCATTTTCCACAGGGAGCCTGGGAATTTATACTGTCTCTTCCTCCTTTCTTTTTTCTTGCTTTCAGAATACCTGACACTTTCATCTCCTTGAAGCACTTGTCATTTTTAAGATTTTAGCTATGAGAGATTGTCCCTTAAAAAAAAAAAACTGTAACAAAAAAAAAAAAGCTGAATACGAATAGAAAAGAATGGTCCTTGGTTTGTATCAGATAAACCTGCTCCTTTTCTTTCTGTGCAGTGTACATTTAGCATAGAAAGTAATGAGTATTTCCTTCAGATTTTAATGGCAGTGACTATTTTATTAACAGAATTAATACCACTATACCACTATCTACAGGTTTAACTTGTTTTCACTTTTACTAGAAATATTTTAAAAGCAGGTGCACGAATACATTTCACAGTGTGCTGAATGTCTTTATTTACAAAGTAGCATTTTAAGTGAATATGAACAAAACAAATGTGCTGATCAAAATAACTGCTCAGTTTAAAATGTGTTGTGAAGATGAATCCCTAAACTTTCTAACGCAGTCTCATAACACACACACAAAAAAAAAAAAGAAAGAAAAAGAAAAACAAGGAAAAATACAATCCTTTAATAGATCAAAATATAGAATGTAGACATCTAAACGTTTAAGGGGAATGGATTTGCAATCTGAGGTCTCTAAAAAAAGAAAAAAGAAAAATTATTCCTCCAGCTAATGTTTAGCAAATATTGGGAAATTTCCATTTAAATAATAAAAAAGAATTGTGTTTAAACCAAAGTCCATCATTCGACGTGAGACTTGCTTAGAGATCTGACATAAAGTAAATCTTTTGAATGATCTGCTGCTTTAAACATTTTTGAAAAAGATAGCAAATCCTTTGGAAAATAATTTGACATCAGGGTAGTAAATATTGTCCAAATGCCACAAGATATGCTTGTTATTCGTGGTGAAAAATTATTCTCAGAAGGATATTACCAATCTGAGGTTTCCTTATAGCCTCAAAGATTCAGTTGGTTCTATTTACCACTGAGACAAATGATCCTCGGAAAAGCTTTCTCTTTTTCTCCCCTCATACAGTAAATAGTCCAAGATCATTATTTCGGTACTGTCTCTTTCCCCCTCCAAATCTATACATGAAATGTTTTGCGGAACACATAATGGCAAGGATTTCACCAAGATTAACCTGGGCAGGCACTCAACATGCAGAGGACAGGGCAACCTAAGAAGGACAAGCAGATGTTTACAACAGCCGTTTGCTTTTGTAACCAACTTTCAGATTATTACCATCTAACAGTGTCCTAAAACACAACGGTCACATAAATACTTACAAGATTTCAGTGAAATGCGTAACTTATCTGAAATTGCGAATTTGGGGACTGACGTGGGACTCTAGAGTTTGTCATTAACCGGTCTGGTGGGGTTGGCGGGAGAACTAGAGTCTTTCCCATTTCTTAGTTTTTAAAAAGTTGTAGATTCCACTAAAGAAGAAGAGATTCCCCCTTAGGAGAGCAAAATGCCAGTGTCTCTCTCTCTCTTTCTCTTCCCCATTCCTCAGTGATGAGGCATTATTATCATTATCTGGGCAAAGTAACGAGTTTTGAAGCTTTTCTTCAAGTTGTCCTCTTGTTCCATTTTAATCCATTAGCTAGTGGTCTTCAGTTTGTTGATGACTTTTTTCTCTTTGACCCTCCTATTCTGGAACCAGATTGTGACCTGCCGCTCCGAGAGGTTCGTTGTGGCTGATATCCGCCTTCGTTTGTCCTTGGTAATGAATTTGTTCGTAGCGTATTCCCGTTCGAGTTCTTTTAATTGCACCTTGGTATAAGGCACGCGCTTCTTTCTCCCCCTCCTATAGGAGCTGGCATCGGATGGATGGGAGACCACGTCTGGAAGATAGGGGAGAAGGCAAGTTACACAGGGATCAGACCCCAGCCAGAGCACGGGCACAGCTCAGTCTGAGCCACCCGCCGTGCGGGTCCGGCTGTCTTTGCCACGCGCTATACAACCCGGCCTTTTGCCAAAGCCTGGAAGGTCAGCGGGGAGGGTGGTTAGTTCTGCACTGAAATGAAGTTGCCCAGGGCTCCAGTGACTACCGCCACCGGGCAATTCTGCATGCGCAGCAGCGCAGCGCACCCACTTCACTGCCTCGCCTGGCCCAGGGGCCCACACCTCAGAGTTGGGCTCAGGATACAACATTTCTGCGCCTGGCTCCGCTCTGCATGCCCCAAGCCCCAACATTCGACGGTTCTACACTGAAGCCATCTGTAAGAGAACGAACAGGGGCATTTGGGAGAGGCGTTTTCAGGCCAATTTCTCATCTTTAAGTCCCCTGTCAAGAGCTGGAGAGGGCGGGGCGCAGAAGAAGGAAGCTAGCTGGGGTCCCCCTAAGTTTCCTCCCAGCCACCCTTCACCCGGGGAGGACCAGGGACCAGATCAACTCAGGGCAGTAGGACAACGCCAGCCAGCTGGGGCCAGGCTTTCAAGGGTGCAGCACCGCTAGGACAGGCCAGGGGAGAGAGCAAAGGGGCACCCGGGTAACCCCGGGCGCGAGCGGAGAAGCTGGAGGAGAGCCGGAAGACCCGGACTGGGAAGGGGGGCGCCATTTACCGGGCAGAGTGGACTTCCAGAGGTGGGGAGGCTGCGCCTGCTCTTTGGGGCAGTACATTTGGCCGTTCCAGCCGTTGGGCAGCGCCCAGGGCTGGTAGCTTTCCATGGGAAGACCCAGGGGTTCGTGGCGCGACTCGCCCGGGCCCCCGAGACCCGGCACCACTGGCATATCCAGGTAGCCGGGTACGGGCTGATGGTGGTGGTAAGGCCCAGCTGCGTAGCCCTGGTGGTAGAAGGCGAACTCCTTAGCGCGGGAGCTGAACTCCTCGGCCGCAGGGCCGGCGGTATCCATGTACTTGTCCGCGAAGGCGGCAGCGGCGGCGGCCGAGGCGGGCTGCGCGCACGACTTGATGGCGTTGGGGTGCGGGCCCATGCGGGTACCCAATTCTGTTTGTCAGTTGGCTTTTCCTCCGAAATGCCTGAA